CACTTTTTAAAATAAAGCTAAGTTAATCTGATGATGTCTATGGGCTAAGATTGTATGTGTACACTGGAATTAAGTTTTGAGAGTGTTAACTGATAGCGATTTATTGCGTGCGTATTGTGTTCACTTGTGTTCTGTGTGTGGAGATCAGACAAACTATGGAGCAAGCGCCGTTTTATTGTATCAGTAAGTTGAGGTAGTTGTAAATTGGAGTCTTATGTTTGTTCTTCAATGCAGCAATGCATCGTGTATAATACTTATTGGGAATTTGCTTTTAATGTTTTTACGTTTTTCCAGTGTGCGTTTTTCTAAGAATATGCGTGTCTCATTGTCTTATTAGTCATAATGCATCATTTAGTTCTTTATCACGTGAAGCTAAGCTCACTGTCTAGAGACTGAGACCACATCAAACAGCAGAATATTTGCATCCTGTTGTGGATGTTAAACAAACGAGATGTTTTAATCATGGCTGGTTCATCATGAAGAAAGCACCGTTTAACAAAAAACAAACAAACATCATAGGCAAATTTTCTCAACACAAAAAAACCGAAGTACACAAATTATGTGCATGTATAAAGAAGCACTGATGAGTGAGTCCACCTTCCTGGTTTCAAGCATAGTATGGCTACTAATCGTATTATAATACCTTTGAATCTGTCTACACTTTCGTGGGTTTTTTAAAGAAAGTGCGTGTTTCATAGTCTTTTTTGTCATTATGCATCATTTATAACATGAGTGATCACCGCAAGCCCCATCCTCTATACAACCCACCCGACGCTACTGAGCACACGGTCGATATGATTTTGTAGTCTGGTGTAAATTAATTTAATTATAATTTTTATTGCGATCAATAGTGCACTATTGCCAATTGCCAAGTAGCAGCATCCTGTTACCATATAGGAAATGTAATGTGCCTGGTCCAGGGATACGCCTCACTCATCTCACTTCTTAAGCTTGTTTCGCTCAACATTCTCACCTCTGTCACCACAAAGGCTGACACGTTCTCTGTGTAGGTTACCACACTCCTCTGCACAAACAGAAACAGAAAAAGAAGGATTTGTGTAGCTTATGCTATGAACTTTGCAAAGTTGTACACCGCTGATCCAAATGATTACCGCATTAGTTTAATCAATCCTATACTTTTATGATGGTTATCCGTTGAAAATGGTCACCCTCCCTTGTTGTTTGATCCCTTTTACTGGCCGCACCATCCGACGTGTTGTCTCGCAGGGCCACACATACACATAAGCTACAATAGTTCTGAATTTTAATGTACTTGGCAACTCGCCTAGATCTAGTTGACAATTGGACGTTCAATTTGACGCATGAATCTGTATAACCAACCTATAATCCTGTGCTTTTTCAGATTGGTCAACAGCTAGATCTCTACAAGCAACATGAAGAAATGATTTTTTCGTGCGCCATGGTTGACTGGATCAACTTCTGGTATAGAATAGAAAATGACATCAAGAAACAGGATGGATTGCAACGTAGAAACAGAGGTAAAAGAAGTCAGGGACGATCAGAAATATTTTCTTAAGAGCGATATGACACTGATGAGTGAAGGTCGTAGAGACAGAGACGACGTGTTGAAAGCGACACAAGAAGATGAGAGAGAAACCAACGAGACAACCATTTTTGATGTGGATGATGATAATTCGGAGACCAGACTAGATACTCAACATCGTACTGGTCCAAACATAGACAAGGGTTATGCCTGGATAGTCATGGTAGGTGAGTGCTGTATTTTGATCAGTTAATTTTTATTTCTTTTTTTTTTTTTTGGAGGCACGGTCTCAGTATAATGAGATAAGGACTGTTATGTGGGTATTTGGTTATGCCTGGATATCACGGTCGATAAGTGCAGTCAGTTATTCTTGAGTCCCATCTGT